CGAGAGTGAAGCGAGGCTAATACCCGAGTGAACTCAAGTATCGTGAGAGAGTTAGGTTAATAACCGAGTCGATCACACCTATCGTCGAGAGCAAGGCCGTGGTGAAGCCGTGATCGAGACAAGTCGAGGACACGCAACACCCGATCCTTCATCATGGCTGCCGGGCACGCTGCTGCCGCTGTGTGCGGACAGCGCGACCACGGCCAGCCCTTGCCGGCCGTCCGGCAACAACTCTCGTGCAATCTAACTTTAAATAACATAACCTGATATGACATGAATATGATCACTGAAATAACTTGAAAATATAAAACTTGTACAATAAACTGAATAGGGCCGTGGCGAGCGCACCGTGCGCCGCCGACGGCGTTAGGCCGTCACTCGACCGACTTGACTTTTCCCTCGGCAACTCAAGATCAACTAAACATGAAACATCATTTTAAAGCTGTTGAGATATAAATTGCACGGACAATCTTGACCATAACAGAAGATAACATGACATGACATAGGACAACCCGTGGCATGCGCGACGTGCGCTACCGACGGCCTTAAGCCAATTCATGGATAAACTTCAACTTTTCTCGACCAACATGAATCTACTGAATATAAAATGATCTAAAATGACCATATAAATATGAATTGTTCATGAGTTGCCGGATAAAATAAGAAGTTACTCGATCATGACTTAATTAGGCATAACCGAACCTATCATGACATATCTATGAATTCTTGAAACATGAACCAAAAAATTCATCCTTACATGAACTTATTGACATGAAAAGAAGTTAAGGGTGCATTTACCTCCTTAAGTGCTCGATGAAATACACAAAACTGATCGTAATTCCTTTGCTTCTCGCGTGTGCTTCCCGTGTGCGATGAACTATGCGTATGATGCTTCGCCGTGCGGCTACTGCTACTTGACGTGCCTTCAATACTCAAGAACTCCTTACTAATCTCACTAACTCTCCCACTCTCTAACCTCAGATTGCATAAGGACGCATATAGGATGAAAAGAGATGGGAAAATTTTTCCAAACTCCCCATTATATAGCAACCGAATGGGAGTTGGATGACCTCTTGATTTCGTGGCTTAACCACTAATTGACACTTGCCTCATGATAACACAACTTAAGATGACTAATCACACCCTTAACTTCTCATCTTGACACGTCTCAATTCCAAAAGATGAAGGATTTGATGTACGGATTTTTCAAGCTTATTGGGAAAATTCCATACGATTAACATATTAAATTGTGATTAATTTTGAATTAATCACTAATTATGTTTAATTATTTAATTAAACATAATACTTAACTTCCAAAAATTTTCCGAACTTAAACGGAACGTCGAAAATAATTTCGGGTAATATCGACTGAATATAATTAATTCCGAAAATTAATACTCAACAATATTAATTTATCGGAATTAAAACATGATTTATACTAATTAAATAACGGGATATTACATGTACCATTTTGCTTCAAAATACGATGGGGCGATAAATATATGTTATCCACTTCAAATAATTGTGCCGTGTTCGAAAACAAGTCTTTCCGGAGACGTTGCTTACATTTTCGTACTTGCCCCTATGTACCCTTATTTTCCTCGACTTTCTTAAACGTGTACCTTTTTGCTTAAAAACACGATGGGGAGATAAATATATGTTATCCACATCAAATAATGGTGTCGTGTTCGAAAACAAGTCTTTTCGGAGACGTTGCCTACATT